ATTTTACTTTAGCTCTTCCATCATCTTTTATTTGTCTTTCACAACATATTGACCACCTGGATTATCTGTTTAAACAATTGTCTTTTTAACTTTTTGAAATTTATTGCTATTGATAAATCTTGGTCTTAATGTCAAACCTGACAAACTAAGAAAAAAAGTTACCAACCTGACTCTAACTGAAAAGGGTAAAAACTAAAATGAACATATGATTTGCATTTCTAAAACATCATTTCTCAAGTGTAATATCAAAATTATTGCAGTTGGTGGAGCAGTTGCCCGTTGAGGGATTGCAGGAGGAAGCTACAGAGCAGATTCCTATAGTTTTCTTAGCTCCACAGACAAGAGTGGTTGTGGAAGAAGTCTTGAGTTTGATAGATAAGACTTGCCGTGCTGTAGTTAAAGAACGGAATGTTTTCTGGAAGCAAAATCCCGAGGTATGTGTATGTGTGTAAGAGATCTGAACTAAATATCTTGTTGGGAAGCATTTAAGTAAATCTAACTTCTATTATTATTTTCACCAGTGTCGTGCCTCAGCCAGCGAGAGCAAAGGGCATCATTTGAATGGGTTGAATAAAACCCTAGATTCATTGCTCGAAAAGGTGCGTCAAATTAAGATGTTGGTAATCAATTTTATCATATTATTATCTATCGAGTATTATTTTTCTCTATAATACATATTTATATATCTCAAATGGTCCGCTTCGATGATTAGGTTGATGCATTCAAGAGTCAGTGGGAGCAAAAGTATGCTCGGACCTTTACTCCTTTTGAGCAATCGGCTCCTAAAAGGCAAAGGACGATTTAGTAGGAACTAGCAAGCTTTGATGGACAAAGAGAAAGATTGGGTTTATGTTGAGGGTGTAGAGGCTTTTTGTTGAAGTTTGGATGAATTGTTAGTTTTGGATAAATTTTTTTGTTCGTAGCCTTAAAATCATCAAAACTATGCTTATATTTGTTTAGGAAGCTCGATTTTGTCGAAAAGCATATATTAGGGTTCAATCTATGCCTAATTCTCTTATCAGCATTTGTCCATCCTCTCCTTGTTGAGATTAGGACTTGAAGTTGATTCTTCACATCAGGACGTAATATTTAAATTTTCAACAATTTACTAGACTTGGTTACCGTGGTGTTGTGCTATTAGGACTGGATAATTGGACTGTATTGTCCTTCATTTATTCTCAAAATATTATGCACTTGTTTATTTAATTACTTACTGGAATAAATCTTGTTTGGGGTGATCAGATATTAGCTACAAGTTTCCTAAAAGTCAGTCGTTAGGCGCTCGACTAGCTCTTAGGTGAGGCCAAGGTGGCACTTAGTCGTGTTTAGAAATTAATATTAAATATCTTATTTTTTATTTATTTTAACTATCTACAAAATAAAATTATTCCAATTTATAAATTGACATACGTAAGTTCAGATAATAATATTAATATATGTTAAAGAAAATATGAGAACAAAATAATATAGTTAGTATTAAAAATATTGAAAATTTGCCAACGAACATGTCTACGGAGCGTTTTGGTCCGCTAGGCACCGCCGAGCCCGCCAAGTCCGCTTAAGAGCGTCTAGGATCGCTTAATCGTTTGACCGATTTTTTCTGTCGATTGTGCAAATCAAAAGTGCTCAGGCACCGCCTACCGTCTCCCATTTTTTTGAATAGTGTTGAATGATGTTTGATTTTATTGGGTCAATTGTTCACAAATAATTAGGTGAAGCAAGGTGTGCCAAAACTTTTTTAAAATGAACATGTTACTTTATAAAATGAACATGTATATACATGTTTACACATGTTCATTTTATAAAATAACATGTTCATTTTAAACTGCTTTGGCACACCTTGTTAGATGTGTCAAGGCACACGACAGTAGCACCGTCAATTGTTAGTCTCAAAAGTTGAAGTTGATAAATTAACTCGACTTTGACACGACTGGTTTTAGATTTGACCCCAGTAGGTGCCAGAAATAAGTTATAGCTTTTGACTTCTTGAGGGACGAATCAATTTTTTTGTTTCTATTATACATACAAAGTTTCGGCGCCATATCGCTTTGAGCTCGGAGTGCCCGTTATGTTTTGCCGCATGCCAGTCCACTCTCCATGCTTTACGTGATTGCCCGGACGCGCGACAGACATGGGAGAAGTTGCTTCCTCGGGCCTACTGGACTACCTTTTTCTCGATGGATTTCCGGCATTGGTTTGTGGATAACCTCAGTAGCCGCTAACGAAGCCAAATAGTCCGCCACAAAGTTAACCTAGCGATAACCATGACCAATCCCCACCTCCCACGGGCGACCCAACAATTCCCTTATCCCCATCAAAAGCCCACGATGAATCCCGGAGTGGTGACCCTGTTAGACCATCTCAATGATACTTTATTATCAACTTCCACTTGTACCTTACGTGCCCCTATATCTCAGGCCAATAGCAGCCCTTGAAGCAAACCTCAAAGTTCAGCCCCAATAATGGAACAAAAACCTATATTCATCAAAAAACCATGAACCCAGTTGCCATGGTTATCCCGGATAACCCCCCCGGCACTCGCCATGCCAGACGATGGATCAAAACTCTCGTCGGTATTCACTTTCAATACCCCCTCTGGCGGGGCCACCTATGACAGCCAACGTATCTCTCGGGCTCCGGTCACTCCTAACTTCCGACCACTCTTCGACGCCTCTGAAACCGTACGCATAATATGATCTAAATCATGAAGGCGATGGGCTAAGGGAAACACACCACCTTGGAAAATCGTGAGGTTACGCCACCTCCATATGCGCCATGCCATCAGACCGAAAACGAAAATCCAGTCCATAGTCAGATTGGAACAGGCCCCGCCGGGGGCAAGCGTATGGTTGCACCATGATCGGATTGGTGTCACATCCTCGGTCCACTATTATATAGGCTTGTGTAGCCTCCTTGTATTGCACCAAAAAAAAAGGTCGCTCGCAAACGGCTCTATATTGCATATGACTTCTCTGAATTAAATGTCACTTTTTCTCCGTCGTCCGGAATGGGATGGATTAAGCTGGGAACGACCCCGGCTGGGATGGACTAAGCTTAATTCGGATGGCTCTTTTTCTCCATCGTCCGGAATGGGAAGTGCAGGGGGCCTACTACGGGATGACCAAGGACACTGACTTGGTGGTTTTACAATGAACATAGGTATTTGTTCGATCATGGCGGGGAATTATGGGGTTTTTTCCGGGGGCTATCGCTCGCATGGGATTTGGCATATAGACAAGTTGAAGCTGAAGTTGACAATGCAAGTGGTGGCTTTTGCTAGATCGCTTGAGGATGCTCCAAGCGTGCACCTTGGACTTGTGTCGGGGATCAAGGATCTCTTGAGTCGTCAATGGGAGGTGAGGATGAAGCATGTTTTCCGTGAAGCGAATTATGCGGCCGACTTTCTGGCTTCCTTCGCAGCGGAAGGCCCCTTGGGGTACCGGTCGTTCGACGCTTCACCGGAAGGGTCAATGGCTACAACACGACATTGTTGGTGTGGCCTATACTCGAACCACTCCAATCGTTACTCGTTAGGCGCATAGCCTCTTTTTTTGTACCAAAAAAAATGCCACTTTTATATGGGCCTCATTACGCAAATTTAAGTTGCATACAATATGTAAACATTTGTAACATACCAAATCACGTCCAAGTGACTTGAATTCCATATAAGAAGTCGTCGTCTATTAAGTATTCCATGATGTGTAGCTCATTCCATAAAATTTAAAGGTTTACTTTTAGAAATTTAAAAACTAATCAAAAATAATAAAATAAAAGGTCCGCTGTATTTCTATTTATTTACAATACAAAATGTGTGTATACTCACTCAGACACATACAATAAAAAATAAATAATAATAATAATAATAATAATAATAATAATAATAATAACAATAATAATAATACATAATACATAAATTGGGTTTATGCTGAGTAAAAAAAAATCCAAAAAAATGTAGTCTCCATCTATAACACAATCGATGGAATCCAAAAATTAGATATACTTTAGTTAACAAACAGTAACAGGAACAAAAAAAAGTTTTGCCGATTTAAATGAAGTCTGAGCTTATCTTTACCTTGGGATGAGACCAACTATCAGATGAAAACACAAATGTCGTCAACACGTTAATCCCCCAATCGCCACATAGCTACACGACCCTCGTCAGGGCTCAAAACCTGCCTCGTAACTCGACAAAGGAACTCACTTTTGGTGACTCCACAAAGGTACACTTTATACAAACCTGCCAAAGTGTTGGTAACTCACTTTTACTAAATTGCATTATGTATTCACCAAGTAAAATCCCTAAAAATCACAAAATAAATAAGCTAACAAAACAATAATTGAGAACAGACCCTTCAAAATCAAACAATGGAAAATTGGAGTGGATCGAGACTTTCGAAGCCCAATCACCAGCCCGACCCGATTCTTGCCCGCCATTATTGCCCACTTGTTCAGTCTCTAATTGCAGACTCTCGACAACAAAGATGAAGAGGAAGATCAGGCTTTCTTCCGGAATTAGTTACAGTGAGGAGAAGCCATTTCTATTGATTTTATGGCACTAAAAAGATTACATGGCCAGTAATTTTCTTGCGAGACGGCCTCTGGGTTTAGGGTGGAGGGGATGAATCCTTCGCGATGGAGGCGGTGGGTGTGATCCGATCTGTATGGCGGGACTCGTTGTCTCTATACGGTGGTTGCGATGACTGCGAAGGGCTGAGGTGGTGGCGGTGGGCTGCTCGACGAAATTCTTCAAGAGATAAAAGAAAGGGCAGATCTTACAGGGTTTGGAATTGCTTCAGCTTCATCAAGCAAATGATAGTCTAGCAGCTTTTTTTAGTATCCGGACAGCAATATCTCCAAATTTATTATCTGAATGGAGGGTAAATGGAACCCCAACTTCTGAAACAATTTTCAAATTTAAAAAAAAAAAAATGTTAATATTAACAAGAAAATGAATAAACAGACCGCTCAATCATTAACATGGAGCGACATCAATTACTAACTCGTATACTTCCTTGAGGTGTCTGAGGAGCATATCCACCAGTATTCTAGACCACTTTGCAGTGGAAGCAAGGGATGTACAGAATGTATCTTCTCTGTCAAGCTTATTGTCAAAATCCTATTCAAAAATCCACAGAAAATAATTAACAAAATAAAAGAAAAGACGAAATGAAAAATTGTTGAAACTCGCTAATTCGTAATCTACTTACCGTGACAAGATCTTTCATAGACTTAATTAATATCGGACTCAAAATCTGTGAGCTGTGTGATTTTAGAACGACACTCCAGTTCTAACAAATAGAACAACAAGAATTCTCGATCGATTCGATTGACAACGAATAACAAATAGAATTGCATTATACGACTTATTATATTAGTTAGGCATGAATATCCAATTAAATATAATAAGTGCAAAAGAGATGTGTCGAGCAATTTCCAGAAATACACCAAATAAAATAAATAAGATAATTCCAATCTGGAAAAATCCAATATTCAAACGGGACGCTAAAGTCCTGATGTGAAGAATCAACTTGAAGTCCTAATCTCAACAAGGAGAGGATGGACAAATGCTGATAAAAGAATTAGGCATAGATTGCACCCTAATATATGCTTTTCGACAAAATCGAGCTTCCTAAACAAATATAAGCAAATCTTGGATGATTTTAAGGCTATGAACAAAATAATTTATCCAAAACATGAGGTCATCAGTATTAGGAAGCGGGGCAGTTAAATATAAAACTAACAATTCATCCAAACTTCAACAAAAAGCCTCTACACCCTCAACATAAACCCAAAAAATAATACTCGATAGATAATAATATGATAAAATTGATTACCAACATCTTAATTTGACGCACCTTTTCGAGCAATGAATCTAGGGTTTTATTCAACCCATTCAAATGA